AGAACTCTTGCCTAGTGTACACAAAACCCTAGATTTCATCTCAGGAGCTCACAAGCTGGCATGGTGCTGTGTGCCTATGATCCCGGCACAGTAGGTGGAAACAGGGAGAATCAGAAGTTTAAGGTCATCCTCAGCCCATGGGAAGTATGCGACCAGGCTGAGGTCCGTGAGAACCTGTCTTAAAATAAATAAGTAGATAGTAAAATCTGGAAAAGATCTGGAGGTCCTGGAGTACTGTGTTGCAGGGTATTTGATCACACTATGTGAAAGGTTTAGTAAAGACACAAATGGCCAATAGACAGGAGAGGATAGGCGGGCAGAGACAGGAACTCTGGGAAGAATCTGAGAGGTGGAGATTTCACCAACAAGACTGCCTCTCAGGATTATCTTCTGTTGACTTTTTAAAAAAGTATGAGTGCTGTATCTGCATGTACGCCTTTATGCCAGACGAGGGCATCAGATCCCACTGTAGATGGTTGTGAGCTACCATGTGGTTGCTGGGAATTGAACTCATGAACTCTGGAAGAGCAGCCAGGGCTCTTCATAGCTGAGCCAACTCTCCAGCCCCTTGTTGATTTTTTTTCCCATCGAAAAATTTTTTTCATTAAAAAAATCCAGATAAAACTCCTTACTATTTAATAATTATAAAACTGAGCTATTTCCCTTCTTCCATGTTGAGGTATATCAGGTGTGGTATGCAAATTCTAGGAATCAAGAAAGGTATTTGTTGTATTTTTCCCATTTAGAGGTAAAGCCTTATATGCTATTAGGTGTTCTATTACTGTAACGAAATGCCAGAGTTAACAATGTATAGAGAGGAAAGGTTAACTTTTGTCCCTGGTTAGTTGGCTCCGTTGGGCCTGGCCTTGAGGGAAGGCAGAACATCTCAGTGGGGAACAGGCCGTGGATCAATGCTGCTCACTTCACGCAGAGCCAAGAGTAAGAGAAGGGAGGTAGGATCTCAATATCCATCAAGGGCATATGTAACACAAGAAGTAAAAGATCCAGAGACAGATATTGGGGCTCAGGTTTCAAACTGAGTATCAGAGAAGCAAATCAGGCAAGCCAGCAGATCTTACTCCTGCCCATCTGAAATGGCAGTCCTGTCTCCATGAATCCTCAGAGATAAAAAGCTTTGAATTCCTGTCTCCTCACTTTATACTCCTTTCCCTCTGACTCCTACAAGTCTTTCTTTCTCCCCCTCTTCTCTGGGGTTCCTCAAGGCTCTTTTCTCAAAGGTCCCACGATCTCCAGGGGTACTATCAGCTAGAAACTGAGTCTTCATCATGTGGGCCTCTAGTCAGAAGCACACTTCTAACTAACCACAATACTTGGTGTAACTTACCCAACCCTTACTGGCAAGAGGGAGGAAGGCATAGTGGCATGCACTCGTAATCCTAGCATCAGGAGGCAAAGGCAGGAGGATGGTGAGTTCATAGAAAACAAACAGAAAGATACTTTAAAAAAAAATCAATAAAATGAGGTGATAAAATAGTTTAGTGGCCGGGTGGTGGTGGTGGTGCATGCCTTTAATCTCAACGCTTGGGAGGCAGAGGCAGGTGGATCTCTATGAGTTCGAGGCTAGCAGCTTTGTCTACAGATTGAGTTCCAGGACAGGCTCCAAAGCTAGACAGAGAAATCCTGTCTCAGACACCACCTCCCCTCCCCCGCTATAAGATAGTTTAGTGGATCAAGCTGCTTGCTGCCAAAGCTTGATTCTGGGTTTGATCCCCAGTACCCACATGGTAGAAGGCAAGAACACAAGGTATAATATAGAAGCTGCCCAAAGTTGTCCTCTGACCCCCCACACAAACACATTGTGGCACACAGGTCCTATTCTCAAATATATAAATGTAATAAAAAGAAAAAAAAAAACAGGCTGGTGAGATGGTCCAGTGGTTAAGAGCACTGGTTGCTCTTCTAGCAGACTCGGGTTCAATTCCCAGTACCTACATGGCAGCTAACTGTCTGTAACTCCAAGATTTGGCACCTTCACACAGACATACATGCAGGCAAAAACACCAATGCAAGTAAAAATAAAATAAAAATAAATGAATTAATAAAAGAAAAAACAACAAAGTAGCTTCATAAACAACAACGTGTGTGTGTGTGTGTGTGTGTGTGTGTGTGTGTGTGAGAGAGAGAGAGAGAGAGAGAGAGAGAGAGAGAG